CTGGGTAACGTCATAGATGACGTGGACACTGGGCACTAACTGTCAGCAACTCAGAGCCTGAGGAGCATGGAACAAACCGGAGGCTGGAAACAGGCATGTCTTGACAGGACACCACCAGGAAAACCCAGCTTATGTCAATGTCCAGTCCCAGCTGAGCTTCAGTGGGTCGGAGTGAGGCTGAGAAGCAATAGGGGATCATCCTGCAAGGCTGGGGCTCTGAACAGCAGCACCATGCCATGTCACTCCCATGTCTTCTATGCAGCATCCACCCAAGGAGGCCCTGCAGGTTTGGTGGCTGGTAAACAGACACCCTGCGCCGTTTTCAATTATGTGAATCATATTTTTGAAAATGTCTTTGCTCTTGCTTCTACTCTGAAGATCGTGTGCCACAAAACAGGCACAGTGAAAAAAAAGCACCCAGATACCCTGCAGTGAACCCCCCCCCACTTCCCCGTGGATGCTGCCCTCCCCGCTCCAGCCAGCCCAGCGCTTTTCAGAGGCATCCCTTGCCAGGACACTGACTCCACCAGGGCACTCATTTCACATTCCTGCTGAGGTCCACTCCCCCCCTCCTTTCTTCCTCAGACCTAACATGCCTGCTGCAGGGGCCCACTTTCAGAACAGCACCAACTGCTCCCAAAGCCCCCTTCTGATCTCCCTGAGCTGGGCTCTGCTGCCAACCCTAGAATGCCTTCCTGAACAGCCAGACCCGACTGGCCACTCCTCAGCCTCGGTCTTGTGAAGACAAAATTCCTTTGATTCACTGTCATGAAATGAAGGAAAACAATTGTACGAGGAGACAGCTCCAAACATGGAGCAAGGAGTATAGCTTCAGACAAAGAACAGAGAACCAACCTGTCATGGTGAGCTTTGCCTCCACCTAAGCAAGCCTGGAAAACGACGGCCTGCCCAGCCAGGGGCGGGCAGCGAGCAGACTGGTGTCAGCTCAATGGCTGTCCTGCCATAGTCCCATCCAACATAAGCAACAGGCTCGCCAACAGTAGGGGCCTATGAGGCAGCCACCAAAGAACCCAAGGATGCCTGGGTAGTGCTCACACTAGCTGAGGAAGGGGGCTGGCGGGTCACTCCCTACTTACGACCAACCAGATCTCTGAACACAAGAACTGTCACCTGCTCAGAGCACACAACCCCTTGCCGTGACCTGGGCTCCAGTGCTCTGCCTAGGGCCGTGCTCTAGCTGGCTGCCATGGGTATGTCTGTGCACCCAATCAGGATTCAACTGGTATCTGGTTTAAAGTGAAGCCTCTCCAGGGACCTTACTGTCCAGAACTGTCCCCAGAACATGGTATGTCTCAAAGGCATTGCCTGACCCTTTCTGAGCAGACAGCAAAGACACACTAAGAAAAGCTGTTGGTATTTTCATTGCCCAGCACCAAGTGCCTATGCCAGAAATCTGCAAACCTCCTTTACTTTCTAACTGCCACCTCCAATTCCCCAAGTTCACATCTCTGCCACAACTCCCACTGAAACTGTGACAATTCTTCCCACTGGGTCTCTGTCTCCAGTTCCCATTCCTACCCCCACACCCTTACCAGCACCCCAAGTCACAGGACTGCCAGTGAGCGTGGGAAGCAACCTGGGCCATATCCCTGCCTGCCTCAAGGTCCTTGATCCTCACTTCTCGCCAGGAGGGCAGGCAGCCTGTCCTGGACCCTACCGAGGCTGCTCCTATGCCTGCCCGCACACCGTCCCCAGGACCCTGGGGATGGTGACCCGCTGCCTCGCATATTGCCTGACCATCCCATCAGGACTGCTAGGCCCTCCCACCCTGCTCCCACCCAGGCACCCCTGCTGTCTGCTGCATAGTAACCCTGTAGCCACCTCACCCATGTCTGTGGCACCTCCTGGAGAGATCTGTTCTTGTGTACCAGTCCCACTATACTCTGAATACCCTGTGAGTAGAGACAATGGCTGGCTGTTCACCTTTGTGGGCAGCAGGCAAGCATCACTAGCAGACAAAACTACTGGCTCTCTTTAGCACAAGGAGTGGAACCGCCATGCAGTTTGATGAGACATGACATACAGAATGGAGAATCAGCGTGGCAGCCATAGGAGCAAACCAGGCCTCAAACAGGCGCCTCTCAGCAGTGAAGACCAGGGTGTGCAGGGAATGTGTGTGCTGGGGCAGGCAACTGGGCCTGGCAGGAAGCAGAGAGGGGAAGAAGGGCCTGGGGGCTCAAATTCCAAAGTGGCCACTCACCAACTCTGGGTCCTGGGAGCGGCACTCCCTCCCTCAACGCATGGCCCCTTCATAAAGGAGGACTCTGAGGGACTGTGGCCAGGATGAAGCTTCACAGAGAGGACCAGACAGTGAGAACAGAGCCAGCGGTGGCTGGGTCTACAGGGCTACTGTCCAGCAGGGGCTTGTGGTTCCTCACCTCCTTCCTGTGCCCAAATTGGGAAACTCTATCAACAGAAGTCCAGTCTCAGTCTTTACAATCTGAATGAGACTAGGATAAACCAAAAACCTGGCAAACTGAGTATCCTAGGGAAGGAACACAGGGCATCAAACGCAAAGCCTGCTAAGGTCAGCGAGGCCCAAGGCAAGCTGCCCACTCTGCCCTCACCCACCTGGCAGTGCCTCCCCGTCCTCCCTTTGCACACAGAGTGGGGACAGTGCTGACCTCACGCGGGGCTCTGAGGTTAATTATCAGTTAATATTATAAGGCACCGGACACACACGAAGTGCAAGGAATGCATTAAAGAAGTCAGTCAGGTAACAGCCCGCTGAACTGTGCAGTAGGACAGCGTCCCAAAACACCCCTGCCATGCATTGAGGTTACTGTCACCCTCTCCGCAGCAGATGATGCAGTGGTGAGCACGAGCAGCTTCCTCAGACAGAGCCACCCTTCCACTGGAGCTCTGAGTCCCCTGCAGTGTACCCTGAGGCCAGCTCCACAGTCCGCAGGAAAGACGTTCACACAAACGTGGAGGCGGCCTGAGCTGGCCTCCCCGCTCCCACTCCTGCTCCATGCCCTGACTCTTCCTTCCACAAACACCCTGGTTCCCACTGAGGATCCTCTCTCCTCTCACTGAGGGCTCTCCCTGGCCCCACCCTCTTCACCACTGTACCCCTGACACACTGCCAGGCCCCTTCCCTGGTCTAACTGCTTTCCCTTCGCTGAATGAAGGCATGAATTCCCAGGACAGCCAACTCCTCCGTCGTCCTGCTGGTGTCCTAAAGAAGGGGAGCTGCTTTCCTCCCTGGTTCACAGACTCATCCTCCTGACCTCAGGGGGACAGGATGATACCTCCCAGCTATTTATGGGACAGATTTATGTTCTGCTCAAAGGAAACTTCTGTGGGTTTCTTCTAATTTTGAGAGGCACAACACCCACCGATCAAGTGAACTCTGATGGGGCAGAAGGAATTTTCGGCAGCTCCACTTTGCCCCACCCAAGAAGCCTCCTGGTAAATTGCTGCCTGTGTGTGCGGTCTGTTTGCCCACCTGAGACAGGAGACTGTCTCTTATACACATCTAGATGTGTATAAGAGACAGCCACTGTACCCCCGACACACTGCCAGGCCCCTTCCCTGGTCTAACTGCTTTCCCTTCGCTGAATGAAGGCATGAATTCCCAGGACAGCCAACTCCTCCGTCGTCCTGCTGGTGTCCTAAAGAAGGGGAGCTGCTTTCCTCCCTGGTTCACAGACTCATCCTCCTGACCTCAGGGGGACAGGATGATACCTCCCAGCTATTTATGGGACAGATTTATGTTCTGCTCAAAGGAAACTTCTGTGGGTTTCTTCTAATTTTGAGAGGCACAACACCCACCGATCAAGTGAACTCTGATGGGGCAGAAGGAATTTTCGGCAGCTCCACTTTGCCCCACCCAAGAAGCCTCCTGGTAAATTGCTGCCTGTGTGTGCGGTCTGTTTGCCCACCTGAGACAGGAGTCCACAGCTTGTACATGGGAACCTTTACCCTGTGTGTTTACAAACCTAAATCATAGAGGACCAGAAGACAACAGAAGGAGAATTATACAGTCTCAGGATGAAAAATGTTTCCTAAGCATGTCACCAGAAACAGACACCATAAAGGAAGATTTTCTGATATTGAAAATTTGGGCAGGGCGCAGTGGCTCACACCTGTAATCCCAGCCCTCTGGGAGGCCAAGGCAGGTGGATCTCTTGAGGTCAGGGGTTCGAGACCAGCCTGGGCAACATGGTGAAACCCCGTCTCTACTAAAAATACAAAAATTAGACGTGCATGGAGTCTCGCTCTGTCGCCCAGGCTGGAGTGCAGTGGTGCGATCTTGACTCACTGCAACCTCCACCTCCTGGGTTCAAGCGATTCTCCTTCCTCAGCATCTTGAGTATCTGCGATTACAGGCGTGTGCCACCACACCGGGCTTATTTTTTTATTTTTAGTAGAAATGGAGTTTCACCATGTTTGCCAGGCTGGTCCCGAACACTTGACCTCAGTTGATTTAGCTGCCTCGGCCTCCCAAAGTAACAGGATTACAGGTATGAGCCACCGTGCCCAGCTTGGATTCTTTATGGAAATTGATAAGCTGTTTCTAAAATCCATACGGAATTTCAAAGAACCAAGAATAGCCAAAACGATCTTGAAAAAGAAGAACAAGTTTGAGAACTCACATTTTCTGATTTCAAAGCGTGCTACAAAGCTATACTAATCAAGACAGCATTTACTAGCAAGAGGACAGACATCTAGTTCCATAAAATAGAACTCAGAGTCCATACATTTATGGCCCACTGACGTTAGACAAGGGTTAAAACATTTTAATGGGAAAGAATAGCCTTTTCAACAAATGGTGTGGGTGCATTTGTGTCCTCACACACACACAAATGAAGTTGTATACTTACACCACAACATATACAAGAGATAAAATTGATTTTAAAAACCCAAATGTAAGAATTTAAAACTGTAAAATTCTCAGAGGAATAAATCTTTGTAATCTTGAGTTAGGCAGTGATTTCTTAAGCCCTAACAAAAGCATAAGCAGTAGGAAAAAAAAAGGTGAAATTTCATTTCATCAAAATTAAAAACCTTAGTAAATCAAAAGACACTAACAAAAAATTGACAATCCATAAAATTGGAAAAAACTTTGCAAATTACTTATTTGATAAAGGATTTGTATCTAGAATATAAAAA